TAAGTGGGTACAACTTTACAATAAGGCTCCCCTTACAAATGGCTAATAAATAGTTTAAAAATACATTATTAATTCCTTTTTTAACACTTCATAAATAATTAATAACTGCTTATTATGCATTAATTAATGGTGACAGAGAGAAAATTGACCAGTTTGTTGTCAAATAGTGAGCCAAATCTGTTCATTTATATATTTCATCTAGAGCTGTTATATTAAACCTTTCAGACTAAGTTACAACCTTGTAAGCACAATAAGCATCTGTAAACCTATTTCTTTAGCGTTTAATATTGTACTTTATCATTGTACTTTATTACATCGGGGAAACTAAACAGCCACTGGCCAAAAGGATGGCCCAGCACAGAAGATCAACATCATCAGGCCAGGACTCTGCAGTCTACACTCATCTCCAGGCCAGCGGTCACTCTTTCAAGGATGAAGATGTTCACATCCTGGACAGAGAGGAACGATGGTTTGAGAGAGGAGTAAAGGAGGCCATCTTTGTGAAAATAAATCGTCCATCATTAAACAGGGGTGGAGGCCTCCGGGTTCAACTGTCCCCCTCTTACAATGCTGTGACTGCTAGTATCACTCAGCCCTCTGTGAGTAGTAAACAGCCATCAGTGTGCTAATGACCCATTGTTAGGCTGATGATCCTTCTTGAGCATGTGATCAGCTGGTTTTGGTTGTCAGCAGCAAAACTGGTTGATCCACCCTGAGAAGGTGCTATTTAAGAGACTGAGCTGAAAACAGCACCTCAGACTGAGGAAGTCTCTCGGATGAGAGACGAAACGTTTCTACATTTTTTTGTTGATTTGCTTTGTTTTGTTTTTTTTGAATGTCCAGAGGACCAGATTTAACTTTTTTAGATTTTTCTACCTGGATTATTGAGCATGCATCAGGATACTTTATCACTGCATTGTAAGTATCTACAACAAACATTATATCCTAAAAAAATAGGTTTACAAATGTTTATTGTGCTTACAAAGTTGTAACTTAATCTGAAAAGTTTAATATAACAACTCTAGATGAAATATATAGGTGAACAGATTTGGCTCACTATTTGGCAACAAACTGTTCAGTTTTGTCTCTGTCACCATTAATTTATGCATAATAAGCAATTATTAATGATTTATAAACTGTTTATAGAGGAATTAATAAAATATCTATAAAATATTTATTAGCCATCTATAAGGGGAGCCTTGTTGTAAAGTGGTACCAATAAGGGTAAAGTTTTGAAAAAAAAAAAGATTTAATGCTGCAAAATGGTCGAGGCCTTTATTGATGTACAAACAAATGTCTTGTCTGGACAATAATTTAATTCAATTCACCTTGTATTTACACATTAATAAAACAACAACAACATTTTTACCCAGACTGAAATAGCTTGAGCTGATGTGTTTAAATCACACCCAAAGTGTTTACAAATGTAACAATTAAGCTTCTGTATTGTGTGCAAAATGTCACAAACAATGTTGGCCTTTGAGAATCAGACACGTTTTGCTCTGGCAGATAGGTGGGACTTCTTAGAAATATATAAATAATACCTCATTCAAATGTGAACAAACAGTGTCTGTTTCTACATGTGCTGTTAGTTAGTTAGTTAGTTAGTTAGTTATTTGGTTAGTTAGTTAGTTAGTTAGTTAGTTAGTTAGTTAGTTAGTTAGTT